CACCAGAGCCCTGTTAGCCAGCATTACCTGTTTCCACCTCTCACGACGAGGACGAAATTACTGTGAGGCAATTAATCTTGCCACTTTTCAGCTGAATTACATGACAGTATATACGCAATGCCATGTGAAACTCAGTGGATTAGTGGCTTACATGCAAGACTCCTGATCAAGAGGTTTTGTTGCAAGCTCTGGCTTGTGTAATGTATCATTATATTTCTAGAACTTTTTGGTCGTTATTATTACTGGTTTAGTGATGCTATTATCAACTGTGGGAAGTTGCACTATTGAAAAAAAAATACCTCCTTGGTAAAGTAGTTTTTGGGCTCCTATCTGTAAATTTTAAGTGGATGATTAGGTTAATTTGATGTGTATTTCATCTTTCCTTCAGGACAATGTTTTGACTGAAGCTAAATCTTCAACTCAAAAGTATGTTTTGAACTCTAATTACCTAATTCTGTTTATCCTTAGAGGGTCAATATTATTTTTCTTTGTCTTGCAGCTATTAAACTTGATATAAATCATTGTTTTATCCACAAAGGAAAAAAAGAGTATTTTCTTGATTGAATGCTGGGAAGGTGATAAAAAACTTGTCAACCTTATATGGAAATTCCAATGTGTTTCTAATCATTTATGTGTAGGATTCGTTGAATTATACTACTTTATAACTTGGTTTCAACTTGCTCTGATTTGATTGAAATACTAACTGTAATGAATACAATTTGATATTTATTTAGAACAGTCAGGGCCCTCTTATTAAAGATGAAATTTTGATTTTGGCTTAATCTTACAAGTGCATCATTTACAGCATACTGCTTTCCTCATTTAGGCAACAAATTAGAATACAGCAACTTGGTGATGAAAATAGCAGTCTGAAAGAACGACTTCAGACAGCAGATGATACCATTGAACGACAGATGAAACAGATTGAAAATCTAACCTTACAGCTTGGAGAGGCAGAGAGGAATCTTGCAGAGAAAGAAGAAGATATGGAGTCTTTAGACAAATCATCTAAAGATGAGGTAATATAACTGTATTAAAAGTGAAAGCCTTTTATAGATTGTTCCTATTAGGGAACTGAATTATACATTTTCAGTAATGATTGCAATAAAGGGAATCATCTTTCCAAGCAACTCCAAAAGCTCTGAACTAGCTTACAGAGAATTGTGTTATTATTTGTTTGTTGATTCACTTTCAGATCTTGAGATTTTTAGAGGATTTTCATTTTTTTTCCTGGAAGTAACCAAAATTTCCATCTTATAAATTATTTGGAATGTGCAAGTAAAGCTTTGTATATATTACTGTGGGTTTTTCAACTTTGAGACTCCCCAGTCCCATCTTTGAATTAACTTAATGTCCATCTATCTCCTTGAGGCTAATTTGATAATGAATGAATGATTAAACAGCTAACTGGTGGTGTCAGTATTAAGCATCATAGTGCAGCTGGTAACAATTTTCAGCCTCTTAGTAATGACTGCATAAAATACTGATTGCAATTGTAGCTGAACATATAGTTCTTTTATTTGTACAAATCCTTAACTGTGATATTTTAGATTAAATGTCTGAGATTTAAAGTAATGTACCTCTCTGAACTGTCAGTCTTTCATGATTTGTAAAACAAACCTATTTGCCTCACATTAACAACAGAAGCAAGTATTAAAGATCTCCCTGCTGCTGAATTATTGATTTGTTTACTTCTATTTTAATGTATTAGCTCAACACACTGAAGGCAAAACTAGCCAGAACCGCAAGTGAAGCAACCACTTTGAAAGAGGAACTGTCTGAAACAAAGCAAAGACTTAACAAGGTAAGTATATGAATCACAGTCAAGAAATTTTGTTGTCATAAATATGGTTACAGTCTTTACCATGACAGTGGAAATACATATAATTATTATCAAGTATTCTTATGAGCTGCAGGCTACATACAAAGTATATATAAGAAAAAGAAACATTAAAAGTGTATCACATATCAAGCACAATTATGTATTTAACCAGGCAAGAAAAGAAAATTTTGAAAGGTTAAGGGTGTAATTTTTAAGAAAAACACATTTTTACTTGATTGTGTGTGCAGTATGAGAACACTTATCACTGACTCTTCACAGTGACCCAGTCAATGTCTATTTACTTTACATGATGCTCACTTGACATTAGCATTGCATGCATTTTACAAAAGTGTATATGTTGCAATCTCTCTGGCCTATACTGTACAGAAGTAATTTTTATCACAATCTACCCTGCCAGTATTTAAGTATAAGATGGTAAGATGGTAAGAAAAAAATTATATACCAGTATTTAGAGTTTTTCATTTTGTAAAAGTCATACAAAAGACATGAAGCAGATATGTTTTAACCATTTTGCAAATTAGATCTTGTTACTACCAACATATTGGTTTAGAAATATTGACTTCATTACCAAATACATTTATCCTTGTTGTAGAAAGCCAAGTTCATAACCATGTAATATACAGTATATTTGCCTTCCAGCACTACCAATTTGAAAGTGTGTATGAAGAAATTAGATTACTGCAGATAACCAGCTAAAAATTAATCTCTGAAAATTAAACATATCACTGCTTTGGGGTAACAACATTGGAGTCTGTGTAGTTTTGAATAACAATAACACTATAACATCATTTTTCTCTGATATTTGTCCTGTGCAAGTCTTAAGCTAATATCATTTCCTTTTGAGGAAGAAATCAATAATAAGATTTTGTATTCCAGTTATTTACATTTTTGAATTCCCTGACACATGTGTTTTATGGCTTGTAGATTATGTCTGACAACAAGACTAATGAAATCAGTTATCAGGAAAAGCTAATGGCAGAGTCTGGCCGCAGCAAGAGTGCTGAAGAAGAGAAGGAACTATTGCGTGAACAGATTGTTGACTTGAGAAAGGTTAATGCATAACATATCAACTTAACCTTTTGAAATTTTGACTCAATCTTGAACTAAACAAACCAATGTTCCTGTATGCATTGTCTTACATTTCAGTATTAAGATGGTTCAATGAAAGGGGGAAATTTGTTCAAAATTTACTTCATTTAGAGTCATGACAGTTTCTCTGTAAACAGTGATAAAATACATCTCATTTTTAACCTCAAATGAGGGAACAATTATGAAGTTCTAATTACCAACTTAAAGCACTTAATTTTTGCATCATGTATGTACTCCAAAATGCATGAAACAATCTAAAATGACATTTACAGCTTCGTGTTGATGGGACTACATTACATAGTAGTTTTTTACTTTCTTGGCCATAGCTGTGTGGGATATCACTTCTAACTTGTAATATGTTTTGTGTGATTCTGTTTCCAAGGGGCTGTAACCATTTCTCCTTTAACACACATAATCAGGGACTAATTAAAATTCTTCTGCCCATTGAAGCACTTATCAAACAGATGCTTTTCAAAATTCACCTTAATATTGGCTTTAGAGTTGTTCAAAGTTTTGTTAAAAACTGGTGATCCAAATGACCTGTAATCTCTGCTATTTACTCTTTAAATTGTAATTGGAATGAGTAACTTGCAAGTAGCTTGCCAAGTATAAAGTATAGTTTAAAACCAATTTGTGTCATAAGACATTTTCTGGGAAATTTGGTAAAAAGGCATTACTTTTTGTTAATACTCAATCCCTTTGTAAATTTTTATGACAGGACTGTGCTTTAACATAAAAGCTGATCCCAATTTTTGTTTAACTAAGCTTTGTTTAGTTTTCTTTTCTAATGAAAAGTGGCTCACAATGCAACAATAGTTAACTGAAGTCATTACTCTATCAACAAAACAATACATACAAGATCTTTCAACACTTCATTATGACTGATCCCCCCTACTGAGCTATTTGAGAGCATTTAGAACTGATTTGGACTTTTTTTGTGGCACAATGTTGGGGGAAGATGACTGTCTTGAAGAAAAACTTCCACCAGATATCAAGGTATAAGGTTTTGTAAGAGCTTGGTGAAACAGGAATGTAAAGGCACTATCTAATCAGAAAGTTGTATGTTCTTGTTGGTACATGCAATTTTAGAAATTTAAAATTGTTACTGGTACTTCTAAATGAATTCTAGCTTTCTATTACGATTTTTTGGTCAAATTGGTTCCATTGTACTTATTGAAACCAGTTGTTTGAACAAGTAAATTATGTTCTGTTTCTTAAGGAGTCAAGATTTTGTCCTTAAAATGCCTTCAAATCTTTCTTTGACCAATACTGGTGATGTATAACCTTACATAGTACACTGGCACCTTTATGTTACATTATTTGGTATATGAATTATGCAATGTATTTTCAATTGATAAAACAACAGGATCTTGAAGCATCACTGGCAGCTAGTATGAGCAGAGAGAAAGAAACCATGGAACAGACTGCAGCTTTGGAAAAAGAGAAGGAAAATCTAGCAAGAGAACTTGCCTCTTACATTAATAAGGAAAAGGACAAGGTACATGAGTTGTATATCGTTAGAAGTTTTAAGTTATTTTTGGAAAGCATCAGTGTTTAATCCATTTTATTAGGGTTGTCAAAGGTGCCAGCTATTTTGAATGCTTGTGGCTTAATCTTCAGCCTGGAAGCATGACTTTGTGCCACCTACTAAGTATTACCATCCAGAATCTTTTTTACAGCCCTGATTCTGTGCAGTTTGTCTTAAGTACTATTTATATATTGTATTTTTTCACGTTTTTTGTTAATAGTAAGTTTGCCCCTTCACTTTTCAGAAGTACAATGATTCAGTGATAGGGAAAATAGAGATTCAGAATTATTCTTTGATTATTTGATGGTCAATTTTTGGTTAAACTGTATTTAGTTTGTTGAAAGCAAGTTTCTTATGGCATTGTTTAATGCGAGAGTATAGTTTAAAGGTTAAGGGTGGCTTTGGTTCTGTCTGACCTTGATTGTACTGTGTAACATCAGAACAGTAGGTTGGAAATGCCATGAGCAACAGATGAAAGGTTTGAAAGTTACCTTATAAGCCAACAGTGTCCTTAAGCATGTCATGAATGTGAAATATATGATGTTTTGACCTGTGGAATAGATAACTTCAGTTGTGACAAGTAGTTTGTGACCCATCTAAGCTACATAGCCATTTGTTGAGCCTGAGGCAAATGTTACTGGGCCCTTTGTTTTCTGTAAAGGTTCTTGTATTTATAGATCACTTTAAGTACACAATTTAATTTCAGATCATTACTGATAGCTAGGATGAAGAAAGACACGATTAAATTAACTGATATGTACATACTGTTTCCTTGTTTCAGTCAAAGAAAACTGATGAGCTAACTGTACAGTTACAATCAATGGAAAATGAAAAGACTTCCCTTCACGCTGTTGTGTCCACACAAGAAAGACAGATTAGTGATCTCAATATTAAGGTACAGGACATGTTTAGTTAGATAGTGGTTGCCATGAGGGAGATGAGAGGATAAGTGATATTGATGGAGACTTATTAAGAAATCCCTCAGGGTTTCAAGAGCATGGCTCAAAATACATTTTGTATGCCATGCATTCCTAGTAGCTTTGACCTATGAGAGAAACTGGGAGAGGTTTAAGTTTGAGTTATCAAGAGTTGAGATCAAATATAAACGATAGTAAGGGGAAACATTTCTTTGTTTCTTCGTTTCGAGCGTCTCGAAACTCGACACGAGCCACGATCCTCGATCTTCGAAGTTTTTGAGAATCGAGGATCGAATTTCGATGATCTGTCAACCTACTTTTGAGCGGTGCAGTACCTTTCACACAAGTGTCACCTGTGGTATCGTGCTGACCAGAAAGAATGGAATGTTTGAGGGATAAAAGCAAAGCTCTTTATCACTATGGGTGACTGTACTTTAGCTAGTGAAGCTTCAACTGGACTATGTCTATCGATCCTTGTAATGTCAGTACCTTGTTTTGACTCGTCACTTTTGTACAACCATGTCTAGGGTCATCAAGGTAAAATTTAATGGTAGTATAGTGATAACAACTGTATGCGCTTTGTGTTCTTACTAGGTTTCATAGTCCCTGTTATAGTCGGTGTTTCCTTTGGTTTTGGATTCTAACATCACTTTTGTATTAATTTATGCACAATAAACCGTTTATACACAGCTGTATATCTGTTGGTCTTGTCTTTGCTTACGTGGTACTGTGTTTTGAACTGTTTATGGTACCAACAAAACTAAGTACAAAATTTTTGTGCAAACATGGGCGAAAATTTCTTTGTAGTTAAAATTGTTGGTATAAATGCGTTTTCAGTTGCATTGACATTGAGCTTTTTCTTTCCTCCTCTTTTTTTTCAGCTGGAGAAAATGGATGAGAAGTGTGCTGAGTTTGAAGAGCAACTGCAAAAAGAACAGAACAGAACTTTAGGTAGGATGCCACATGCACCAGATATGGTGACAGTATTTCACTATGATCTTGTTATTCGAAGGGTGCATAACACCTTCTAACGGATAAGTCACAATCCTAGGAATGGTGTAGTTTTTTTTGTGGACTCCTATTCACTGGATATTTTTATGTTGTTCACCCTTCAAACAAATGCAGCCTGTCCCAGCTAGATTATTCAAAGGATAGATTGCAACCCAGTTGAAAACCTCTTTTAGTCTGTCTTTTTGTGCCATAAATAGTTATTGGCTTACTGGAAAGTGTTATTAGTTAATTGAAGATCTAGGCAAGTCTAACAATGTCAGGTCAGCTGTAGACTACAAGCAGTTCCCCGTTTACGGCGAAGTGCCTCGCGCGAGGCAAAAAAAATTAGAAACAAAAAAAATTGATGTTAGCACGCCACGCGAAACTTTGGGTTCATGCGCCTCACTCTCAGAGTTTCCGCGCGTGCGCTTACATCAAAATTGTTTTTCTTCTTTTTTACTCGCGCAACGGACTTCGCCGAAAAGGTGGCACTGCTCGTAGTCAAGTTCAGCTGATCCACGCCCTCCTCCCCCTAGATGTGCTTACTAGGGGACCGAGGTCCCCAAGTAAATCAGTCGAAAAGAAAGCTAATGACTCTCTTAATTGTCTATTGGAAACGTCTTGTTCCTTTTAAAGCTGTTTCGAAATCGCGGTGTCACCATTTTCTTTTGTTTTATGTTCAGAGTTAAGCACACGATACGAGTTCACTCAAGAGAGCAGCAGCTCTGCTAAACAAGAAGTAGATCAGCTTAAAGAGGAAGTGAAAGTGATGTCTGCACAACTTCTTAGACAGCACAATGCTTCCTTGGATAGCCAAGTGCGTAGTATTTACTTTATCACAAAATTTTTTTACAACTCATGCTAAAAGTCTCTTTGAGGGATTGCCTCTCGAAGGCGAGGCAGTCACTCAACTTCATACCAAGATTTTACTTTTTCACTTCATTTTAGTACTAAGATAATATTTAACAAGTTATAACGTTAAAACTGGCAGCAACTGGATAGAAAGAAACGAGAGAATTAGTGGCAATTCGACCCTAAAAGTTAGTTTCATGATGCGAGGTCGTCAACTGATGGAAAGAATACGATAGAGAATCGGAAGTCACGATCAGTTTTCATTATGTTATGTTGTATAAAACAACAAATGTCTACAAGTTGAAGTTAATTATGTGGTTTTAATTGTTCTTGTGAATGTTCGTGTTTATAGGCCAAGTATGAGAGGCTAATTGTGGACATGCGCAATGAGATCGAGCGTGAACGAGAGAAATCCTCCGCAGAGCGTCACTCCTTGGCGAGTCAGTTAGAGCAAGCAACCCGGGAAAGTAAAGATTTAAGTGCACTTTTACGAGAAAGAGATGAGGTAATGCTCTTACTCTGATTAGGATAGGTTTCTTAACTTCTTTCTTTAACCCTTTTTCGATCCCAGGAGTGACAGTCCTATTCATTTTATTTTCCAAACAGAGACGAGGAGCAACACAAGGCTAACTGATTCAGAACCTTGCATTTATTTTCTTGTAGGAGCTTATTGCCCTTCGTGCAGAGCTCACCAACGCTAGTCACACTGGAACCAAGGCTTCTACAGCTCTGGAGTTTGAGAGCAAAATGAGAGGAAGCCTGGAAAACAGGACAGCGCAACTAGAGAATGAGCTCAGTAAGGCCTGGGAACAAATTAAGGAATTGTCTGAGAAGGGATCAATGTTGGAGACAGCAAAGAGGCACCTAGAAATTGAACTGGATAAGGTATTGCTTCTTTTGACCTGTTCACAACCAACTCACGTCGACACATGATGAGAGTCAACGGTCAGATTTCCACTTCCTTTTGAGGAGATGAATTAACCCTAAGAGTTTTTTAACATCTTATTTCTCCCTACGATGTCACAGCTGAATCAAATATTAAGGTCATAAGAATCAAGAAAATGATCACCAGGTAGAGAAGCTCTTGACTGTTAAACACATCCTCTTTGTCAGTACCACAGGAAATGTTTAGAGAACAGTATGAACAATATACATACTGATTTTAATGTGTTTAAGGTTAAAGAAGATATCTGAAAACTAATTGGGTGAATAACTCTGCAGAATGAATATAGTGATGCAAATCAAACTGCAGTTAGTAAACTTAGGTGCTGACTCTTCAGTTAATTGTGGCGACAAATGCCAGGAATACAATAAATTTGTCACTAAAAGTAGCTGCTTATAAATAGCTGTTCTTCATTTCGTCACCAACGTGGGACCCAGAAAAATGTATGTTCTTCACAAATGTACTTTTAAAAACTTCAACGTGTCATAATCATGGTAGTAATTTAAGCTCATCTTTTGCAGTGTTGTTTATTCTTTTGGAATCGAACCTTCGCTATTTCCAACACTGATAAATTTATTGATCCTAATACTTGTTTATTTCCAACAGAAAATGCAGCAGCTGCGTCAAACAGAAAGTACACTTCATAGGAGACAAGCGGAACACACTGCAGTTCTGGTTGCTAAGGATACTGCTCAACAACAAGCAGAGCAGGCTGAGACTAAGGTGGAATGTCTTGCATTTTTATTCAGTCTCCTGTAGTTATTTGTTTATTTCGCTATATTTTCAATTTCTTTTACTCTTTCAGTCTATTCCCATCTTTGCCAGTTCTGCTCATTCATTTCCTCCTTGACTTCCTTAAGCGATTTGTAACATCATTAACCTTTTGACCTCTTAAAGTGACTAGCTTCTAATTTCTCTTAACAGTATCACCCCTGAATCAAACATTAAGGTCTTGAGAATAAAGGAAATGATCATCAACTAATAAAGCTCTTGATTGCTGTACAATTCTCCCTGTTGTCACCTTGAGAAATGTATAGAGAACAGTATGGAGAATATGTACACTGATGTTAGGGTGTAAAGAGTTAAAGGGATACAGACTGGTTTTTGACAGCAGCACTTGAGTGTACGTAGTAGATACGTGTACTTTATTTTATTTTTTACTTTTTGGTATTAAGTTGGCAGTTTTAAGGCACGAGTTCGAGGGAATCAGTGAAAAGTTGGAGCTCACACAATCAGAACTGAGGCTTGCAAATGAGCAACTGGCTGAAATGAAGCTTACTTCTGAAGAAAATAACACTCTAAGAGTTCATCTGGAAGAGGAAGAGGTTAACAAGTGAGTAATTGGCGTGAGAATTACTCCCTAATTCGATGACATGTTTATAAGGCACGGTTACGGTGTGTTTTTGAACGAAGTGTACATTACAACTTTAGAGGTGACGCGAGATAATTCTTTGAACAAGTGTCTCCTTCAAAAACCAAACGAGCAACAATTCTCTGAAAAAGTGTCGCCTTAAAAAACAAAATGAGTGAAATCTTCAAATAATGTTATGGTTGTCGTTCACAAAATTTGAAAAATGCTCGGCACCCATCAAAAGAGAACGAGCATGATTTTTTTTGCGAGATTATTAGGTGTAGATTAAAAATTAGCCCTCTGACATTTATAAATATTATTGTACTACGTGCTTGTAACGTCATGGGCAGTCTTACGCCATTTGGAACCCAGTTATATGCTTAATACTATTGCGAAAATTTAATCAATGACACTTGGTATTACGAAATTAACTAATGGAACGTGATGATTACATTCTATAAATGCCCATAAATCGTTGAGTTCTGTTTAAAATTGATTTGTTATAAATTCTCTTTTATTTGACAAAACCTGTCTTGTAAAAAAACCTTGATTTTGTTCAATGAATTAAGTAAAATATTTAAATGAAAACGAAAAAAGTTAAAAAGATGATACTGCAAACTAAAGTAACAATACATGTTGGCCTAGCAAAGAACACAAAAGTAAAACTAAAAGCCCTGACACGTTATAAACTTATGCGCCACATTTTTGCAAAAAAGAATAACTAAAATATAAAATTTAAGATTAAACGTATCACAATGAAATACTCGTGTTATGTAATTCACCAGACTGTAACACATTTATTTTAAACTCCTTAAGTTATCTGTAACGTAAAGAAAAAGATAATCGACTCTTTCGTGTAAAAAGAGTGTTATAACTGTTAAACGTTGTATTTATGTTGCACTGAAATCTGAACATAACTGGTGTGATGTTTTCCAACCTATATACCTAAACCTCGCCAGACTCGCTTGTGATGTTATAGAACTCGAGGAGATGCTCAGGTAAAGATAACAATGTTAGTATATCGTTATTACTAATGTTAGCGAATAATGATCTTAACCACTTTTATGTTTTATATTCTTTTTCTTCTCTTTAATGACTAAATGCCTTTAATTGCTGAGAATACTGGACTTAAAAAATAACTCTATTTGAATTTATCGTAAAAGCGAGGTTACATTTATAGCACAGAGAAAAGTAGAACAAGATAACAGTTCTATTCGTCAGCATAATGCCAAATTTAGTGCGTTTAACCGTGCAATTGGTTGAAAGGCCAATACTGGAAAGATTTCTTTTTGAGTTGACGTCGATGTAAGAAAAATACTCCTTTTCGTCCTGAGGTCATCTGTAAATGAAATGTTAGTTTTTAGTTCTTTAGAGCCCTTAAAACGTTCAATGCAAGGAAAAGTGGGATGAAGTCAGTATCTTGCTAGAAAACAAGCTTGTCTTATGTTGTCCGTTTGAATTAAGTAGCTGTTAAATTTTTCGTTCTGATAGTCGCATAGAACATCACCGGATGTTCTAGGAATTTTAAGGCTCAATAAGGTTCAGCTGAAAAGGGGATTGACCGGGCTATTTTATGTATTGATTGGGGCAAGGTGATATGGTTATCTTAGAACCCTGTCTTGTGCAAGGATTTGAGATCCTCCCTTGTCTTTTTAGGGGAATACAACATCAAACTGTTCAAGAACTAGAAAAACAAGTCGAACTTCTTCGTGATAGAGATGCTCAGCTGCAATACACAGTCAAAGAACAAGAGGCAAAGATAGAGGCGTTGAAACAAAAAGTCAAGAATACTGGAGATAAGGTAGTTTATCTCTCTGCTGCTCATTTACTCTCGTGGTCAACGTGCATATTATTCCAATGCTTCGTTTTTCCACAGTTTCAATCATTCTCAGTGCCGAAACCTCTCAATAAATTCATGCAATGGGCTGTTTTTGTCATGATGCACAGGAAATGACAACTAGGGGTCAGATTTCTTTCGTCTCACGCAGTATATATGACGCCTCACCAGTTACACTTAGCCTGCGTGCACATCTATATATTACCCCCGAGGAGGGAGTTTTTCATCTGGTAGACCTTCATTGTCCGTAAAAATCAGTCATAAATTGCTTCTGGTCCTGTCAAGTTCAGCTGGTAGAAAAGGCTGCGTTTTTTTTCGCTATTCAGGGTTAAGCGCGAGTGGAACGCGATGGACAAGTTAGTCACGCGAGTCACGCGTGAGAGAAAGAATGACCAGCTGAAGAAGGCAAACTAAGAACAAACTATGACTGTTCTGCGGGCTAGACTATCCAATAATATACTAGAGAAACTAAATGAAGCACATCCAAACTTTTTTTGTCTTGATTATTTCTTGATAGCATAAGCAAAAGGAAGATGATGCAAAGTCTCTGACAGAAAGAGTGAACGAGTTCCAACAAGAAGTGGAGTACTTACAGGGAGAGTTGGTTAACGCTGCGGAAAGAATTGATCAACTACAAAGGAAAAACGACGAGAGAAAAACCAAGGCTCATGCCACAATCAGATCACTTAAGTGAGTCTTAAACTTTCTACGCGATGTTTAGTTCAGTTATCTCTTTCATTCTGTCACAATGGGCAAAAGCGTAGAAAGCATTATATTCCTAACTTTGTTTGATAAATATTCTAGCGCCTCTTTTGCATTACTTCTGGTTGTATTGATGCCATGCAACAAGTGGCGTTTTGAGGTCACTTGTATACAGTGGAAGAAACCTGCTCAATCTATAATCCGACAGTCACATTTCAACAGTCGAACATTACGAGCGAGGTAATGTTCCTGATTCTAACGGAGTAAAGTTCGTTTATGACGGAGTTTACGGTGGAACAAAATAAGCATAAATCTCGGTGCTTTTCGTTGGAATATCAGAAAACTAACGCCAAAGTAATGACGACGGTCAATCAGAACAGAGGCCGAAGAATTATTATCTAATGGGTCAGTAGGAAGCGACAGTAAATGTATGTCAGTTGCCTCGGCGTTTGGGAAATTGAAGTCGCAGTTGGGTTTACTTTCCTATATAATTAGTTGAGAGAGTGAGGCAAATTTCTAGACCAATCATAAAGCGAAGTGGAATGAAATGAAAGCATTCCCGGATTATTCTCGACATTCAGTTGGAAATTACTCCAAAGTAGAATTTGCCTGATTTCAGGGATAGATTTGCACGTGAAAAGAGAAACCTCGAATCCACAGTGCTGTCCCTACAGAGCAGTTTGGAGCTGACTCAGGAGAGAATGAACAAGGAGGAAGAACTTAAGGGCACAACACAGGCCGTTCAAAAGCAGCTCATGGGAGAGAAACGAGAGCTACTTGCGAAGTGAGTCAATCGCTCTGCGTTTATTCTCATCAAACAAGAGTAAACAAAGGCTGACGATTCTCCGCTTTTCTAACATCAGATTAGAGCTAACGTGGATGAGATGAAAAGTGGAAATCACCGAGGAGTCGGTCCATAATTGATATTGATAGGGTATCATTTTACAGTAGCAGGAATATTGATAAACCCATATTCCCAATTCGATATCCTCAAACAAATCTAAATCAAACGCGACATCTTTACAAATGTCAGCTGGCAGCGGGCGTGGAGCTGGATCTGGGACTACTGAGAAACAAATCAATCTGTTTGTCAGAGCGGGACTGGAACCTGGAACCTCTGAATTAAGAGTCCAATCCACTCTCCAGTCTACCACACTGCCTCCCTCCCAACCGAACAGTGAAACCTAACGGGCTTCTCAACATGTATTCGTGTCCTAAAGCCGATCATTCCGGTAGAGTATTACCAGAGACACGATAGTAAACTCTAGGTTTTCGTTTTATTCAAACAGATTAACGGACAGCGAGGAGGTTATCCGGGAACATCTGAGAAGTTTACGCCAAAGGGAGGCTGCACTGAACGCGTTGGAAAAAGAGAATTCTGAACTCCACGACAAAGTTAACTTGCTAGTGCAAGAAAAGAGTACCATATCAAGAGAACTTGAGAAAACCAAGGTTAGTCAATCAGTCAATGCGGCGCCGCCAGTTCATTTGGTATCAAAATTTTGTGCGCAGGCTTAAATTTAAAAATTTATTTCGTAACTAGTAGCAGCATGTTAACAAGGCTGCAGGTCACGTCGCTGGTAACCTGTCTAAGCTAGTACTTTTGCTGAGGGGGTAAGTGTTCGTGACTGTTGTCATAGCTCTCTCGTTTCCATCGAAGATGAAACTGGGCTAAATTGACACGTTTTCATTTCTTCTCAGTTGTTGTTCCGAAAGGTATCTGTGGTAGTTCATTTTAATTCTGAAACTAGTTATTTTTTTCGCTCTCAATGGAAACATTCTGAATCAATTCTAGGCTCTTCTATCAAGTTCATATACAAGCCCCAAAGCATCAGGACCCATTGACTCTCAAGTACTTCAGAGCGCTTTGGCGCGCCTGAATCAGGTGGATACACTGGAGAGGTCCTTTTCATTGAGCTCTCCTGACTTGTACTCCCCTGAGCACAGGTCCCCAGAAAGAACCATGGCAGGTAACGCACTGAATGGTTCTTTCAACGGTTCATATCGGCCGGGACAGATGAATAGCACAGTACAATGATACATTGGGTACCCTGTGCACACATACTGTGGACGCTTCTGTGAACAATCCTGCATGCGTACGTCAAGAGCGGAGTTCCTTTATAGCAAAAACAAATATTGTTGTATTTGTTTTATTTTGTGAAAACAACAGTCCTTAGATGGAAAGAGATCATCAACTGATACTGGCGAAAAAGGAGCGAAAATATAACCGCTACCCAAATAGGAAGCTATCCCTATTTGGTTTCCTCACTTTTGGAGTGCTACTGTTACAGTTTACACCATCTGTTGATAAGGAGATTGTTGAAATGACCGGAGAGTGATCTCAAGCCTATTGCTTGCACCTAGAAATTGAGAGCGATTATTTATGAACCATTCAGTCTTGTCTCTTGATACATCCTGCAACCACCAAACTGACTGAGATAAGGATGAACGGGAAAAAGTATCGCTGACTAGTTTTTTTGTTTGTTTGTTTGTTTGACAAAGGGTTCGCTTAACTTATTGCATTTTCTTCGTTTTAAAATTACATTCGGTGCGAAAGCTGTCCGAGAACCACACAAACTGTGAACTAATTGTTAAATGTGGACGAAAGTAGAAATTTGTAGTCACAAAAGAAAGAGTATTGCAAACTCCTGAACAATTTTACGAGAACCCCCTTTTTTAAGTTGGTTATTTTTACTTTACTGAACATTGAAAACCCTAATTGTGAATATTTAAGTCTGGAATCGTAATTTATAGAAATAACCACAGCTTCTTAGATAGTCACTGAAGAATTCGCAATACTTTTTAACGCAATTTTGAAAACATTTTTAATGATACTTAGACCTAGAGATCGTCTAAACTTGTGTCGGTCTCTTGGAGTGAATTACGAAGTTAACTAATGTGTTCGCGAGGATTAATATATTTCTTGTATAGAATTGTTAATTTATTATCATGGCCGCTATTGACAGTATCTTCAAATGGTATTATATAGTAATATTACTTTTATACATTTATAACTGTATTTTTTAAATTATTGAACAAGTTATTGCTGTAAGTATTTTGTATAACAGATTTACATAGAAAGAAAAAAACCGACGTAATGCTGGTCTTTGGTAATCTCGCCAAATAAAACAAATTTTCATTTTGTAGTGGCATACGACAAGATCGAGAACTCTGTGCTGTTTTAGGACTTTGATGAAAGCTGTTTGAACAACAGGTAAAAACTGCTCTGAACGTAGCTTGCAAGAGCTTCCATAAACACTACAGCATGAGCAACCAGGCGTGCAAGATTCTTGCTGGCTAACTAAGCGGGAGCTGAATGTGAAGGGTTTATGCGAAGTCGTCGTCGCCGACTCGAAACGCGCAGACTTCGCCGCCAGTGTCTCAGCGCCAATGAGAGGCTGCTTGCAGGCTACTTTGAGCGCTAAGATGTGGTTTCATGGGCGGATGATCATCATCATGAGAATTTATAGTAACAGACAACATTGATGCTTATGCTTCATCAAATCATATAAATGCTTGGCATGTCTTGGCCCTTCTCTATAAGATTGATTAGTTAAAGTGAATTTTACTGCCTAGTTCCCTTTATAAAATAAACTCAAGAGTCGTGTAAACGAAAATAAATCCGATGAGAAATCTGCTTGACTATCTTTGGTAACTGCTAAAAATGAAAAAAAATTGCAAGCCACCCCTTTTACGGGTGTAGTCCTGCAACTTATTTTCCTCATGAACGTTACCGTAACTTAACTGTCTCTTGCCCATGGCGATAAACTATTACCAGGGGAATCAAATTAAAGTAAAAAGTACCAGTGTCAACGAAGTAGCTGTAAACATGTAGCATGAAGATTCACTATGCAACTGAAAGGGATAAGTAAGTAATTCCGGTCTTGAAAAAACCTAGCTCTTGCTTTGTATACAATAGACTTAACGTAGAGTTTCTTGAAAAAAAATTGCTTGAAAGTTATTTGGTTTGACTAGATAAATACTCTTTAAAAAAGGTACCTGAAATTCCTCAAGCTAATTGACAAATCGCTCGAGACAAAATCAACCAAAATTTTCTACGCTTGATTGCCGAACTGCCCCCTTCTGATAAAAAAGAGGCTTTTGAATGTTTTTAAATGCTTAAGTCGCCAAGAGTAAATTATCAACTGTGCGACTTCAGATTTTTACAAGTAAATGCCAGATGAGCTTTTTACAGAAATGTTTGGCAGTCTGTATTAGTCTCTTCCTCCGTAACTGGCGTCCTCTCACTGAAGGGAGACGATGGAGAGTTGACAGCTTGTTTAGTCCTTTACATTTCGTTCAAGTAAGTCTATTTTACTCATTGCTCTTCGGGTGTGGTTGATCCTGGCCAGTTTCCAAAGTCAAACTTCGCGTTGTCGCCAATCAACTTAGATGGAGCCCATTGTGAAATTTCGTCAAAGCCGTCACTTCTCATCCAATTCCTGGTAGCTGAATTTCTGAAATGTCCATCATCGTCAGGAGGTAGTCTTCTTCTCTCGACGGGAAGGAGTCAATAAGGCGCTTTGGAGAGAGAACAATCTCCTCTTTCGGCATTACCGTGGACAGCAAAATGTATCAGACTTACTGATTTACTCCTTGAAGCCCGCTTTGTTGCACGGTCTTCAGTCAAAGGTGTTACGCTATGAAGTTTACCGATCATCTCCGCTTCCTTTCTGGCACATGGCAATGGCAGTATATCGCTATTTAATACTAGTAGTTATATGTTCGTTACATGAATCAAGTTTAATATCCACTGCGAATACCATGAAGTTTCTACAGTTCAGTAATATGTAAAGCACCCGAAATATTAATCCGAGAAGTTAATAGTTCGACACCCATCAGCAGCACACTTTGTTTCTTTCTTCTCAGTTCGTCATGTCACTTCCTAAAAAAGGCAATCCTTCAGATTGGCTGGTGTTTACGTTTTCTGTGTAAATAAATTGTCCACCATACCAACCTTACTACGTTTGCGCACGAAAAAGACTCACTTAAACTTGCGCAGGTTTGTAAATGGGAGGAAGCAGTTTCCTCTCGTTGAGGACGTCGTAGTCAACCGTCAAGTCTCATTTGACCCCAAGAAAAGCCTCTTGTTCGAGGATTTGAGCTTCTCTAGAATTAATGTTCTGATCAGTTTACTCAGCATTTCTGATTAGCCGTTACTCATGGGGCCTGGATCATCATTTTTGGATATGCGCAAACCCCGCCATTTCTTGCTCTTCTCACGGAAGCTAAACGGAATTAGCACAGCGCTTTAAGGATGCTATTTTATATATTCATTCATCCTTTTCTCTCTTGGTAACAATTGAGATAAATTTTGACCGTTTTTGATTCAATTCATGCTAGTTTCCAAGGTATTGTTGCGTCCAGAAACTTATACCATTTTCTACACATTCAGGAGAGAGAGAAAGAGAGCGAGAGAGAGATAGTGAACACAGCTGGGTACGAACATTACTCAGGGGAGTATACTAAGTGGCTTTTCAGCTTTGACGTCAATCGATACAAACATGGCGGACGTAGTAGATTCCTTTCTCGCTAAGAAATGAACTGAAACTGTGATTTGCATGAATTCTTGGGGTTGAAACTTACAATCATGCTGATATACGTGGAGAGCAAAGCTTTTCCGGTAAGTTAAGAGCAATGCCTATGCGCTTTTCGGGGAAGACTAGAGCAGTGTTTTCATGTTGTTTCGTTTGTTGGTAAGTTGGAGACAGTTAGGGCATGGTGAGATATAGATGTGTATTCAATTTTATCTGCCATTTCTTCACAGGCAACAACTGTTGCTCAATTCCTTTTTCTTTATAAATTTTTCTGCGTATCTATTCTTGGAAGAGTTGGCAGAACTTTTTTCCGTTGTTATTTTTGGACTTCAAATTTTTGTCAAACATACATAGACTGTAAATTGTAAGATTGTCACCAAGAAACACTTGTGACTCTTTGATTCGAAATCTTTTCACAAGTTGGCGATGAGAAAACCCCTAAATTCCTCATAACTGAAACTCATCATTTGGATAGCCATCAGTTGGACTATACTTACCTCATAGACGAAAAGCTGACTTAAGCAACCAAATAGAAAATGTCTTAATAATCCCATGTAGTGCCTGTTTAACTAAAATTGCAGTCCACCTTTGAGGATCATTTTCTTTGCTTTGGTTTTCACCCTAAGGTCAACTGAAATATATTTCTTTACAAGCTGTTTTCAAATTCCTGTATGGGAAAAGAATAACACTCTATAAATTTCCTTGCTCTCAGAGGCTTCATAGCTCAGTTGGTAGCAGCACCCAACTCATATCTGGGAGGCACAGGTTTGAATCCTCTCAAACATGCAGTCCACCTGTCAGGATCATTTCTGTAACAAGTAGAATATCTGTAACAATCTGTTACCGTTGAACCCTCTGTCAGTCCCAAATTGTCCAGCTCAGAAAAGTGTAGCCTATTTGCACAAAGACACTAGAATGGGGCTAAATTGTTCTTCTTGAAAGTTTGTATTTGTTTCAGAGTTTTATCAGAGTTTGAATAAAAACTAGAGAAGGGTTACTTAACAACATGCCCTTTAAATCATAAAAATTTATGGGTAAAGTTGGACCTTAATAGCTCAAACTGTGAATATAATTTAAGGAATGGTTTTGTAAGGTGGTAAGTGGTCCTTGACAAGCATGCTTGTTTTCCTGGGTGTGATTAGTTATTCTCTCTCTGCCTTAACTCTGCTTTGAAATCACCTCAGATGACAATAAACAACTGAAAATTGCACCTCAAAAGGAAGGTCTTAAAGCTAAGTTAGTGGGAAGTTTGACTTGGGCAAATTGAGTCAGTGAGGTTACAGTTTAATCACTTTTATGAATAAATCAAATTGTAGTGCCAAAGGTAGCAGTGTTACACTCAGTGATAGTTTGGTTTCATGAACTTAGTTGATTAATATGTAAAGCAGACATTTCAAGTGTTTCTACTTTTGCTCTGATGAAGGGCTAATGCTTGAAACATCAGCATTACAGTGGCCAATTAACATATTCACTGAGTTGATAGGACCAGATTATCTAGTATAACCCCCTATCAACACAGCACTAAAGTTTCTTAACAAACTTCCCCCCTTTTTCCACAAACAATGAGTTTTCATTCTTTAAACAGTCCAAAGTTTTGGTAGTATCATATCAGATGACACAACAATCCCCTGAGAGAGGCATTGTTGCCCTATTTATATTTGATATGGGTTTTGTGTTATTTACAGAGCAAGACATTCACCCTGGTGTGTAACCCACATGAGACAGTTGCAAGAGCAAGAGCACAGATGCTTCATATTTTATTTGAGCTTGGAAGAGCAGAGCACCAGTTTCGATTCAGATTCAAAGGAGAATATCTGAGAGATGGCTATACCTTTGAGGTAAACACATGCAAGAAATAATTCAATGTGCTTCTGACACCTTGTTCTTCATTAGATTTGGTGAAAGAAATCCTTTATTTACTTAATAAGTTGGTAATCATCATGGTTCCACATACTTCAACAAGTATCAAATATTTTTATTGTAACAATTTTATTGCATTTATTAGGACTACAGGATTCAGGATAATTCAGTGATCAAAATGGTTCCAATGAGTAAAAGAAAAAGAGGGGTTAGTGTCTACTGTGTTGCTGTTGTGTTTTTTTTCTCTTTTATGATGTGAACCAGGTCAATCATAATTGTAGTGTTAATTGTGTTTTTTTTTTTGTGAATTCGATGGAATTTTTTAAGATGAGTGCTTTTTCTTGTTTTAGTCTTATGCAACTGTATTTGGGCAAGAGCAGTCCACTCAAGATGTGGCTGGTGCAGATGAACATGTGTTCAGTTCACGAGCAATCCTCCTAGGACAAGAGGAATTAGATGATGTACAGAAGGCATTGCGAAAAGAAATTAACATTTTTGAACGAAGAGAGACATTTCTGGGCAATTTTAAGGTTATTATTTTGGTTGTTAAGTTTATTATATAGGAGAGAGTATTTGATACCTAATAGTGACCAACTGACTGATTACTAAACTGACAGACTGAGCAACTAATTCTGGATATTTTAAAATGAGCTAGTGACTTGCTAACTGATCAAGTGACTGAATATTTCACCAAACCAACTTTCAGACAAACTGAGTAACCTATGGGATATACTGTTAAGTTGGATGATTAACTGGAAATTTATGGTCTATCTGAGTATTACGCCCAGATGTATTGCTTGAATCTTTGTAAATTATGGTCAGCTTCCTCACTAAATGAGGATGTTGAAAAAAGTTGAGCTTGATGCCTTGCAACATTGGAGATTTACTGACTGACTAACATCCAGACTGCCAAATGATTGATTGACATATAGGTTGACTCTTTAACACACAGGGTATTTAGGTATTATCAATTGAGTTGATAATGTAAATTGGCCACTGTAAAGAGTTTTAAAGCTGACTTTTTAAGTGTTAGCCCTTTGTCATTTGCTCTGAGAAAGGGCTGACACTCAACTCAGTTCATAATACTTAATTACGCTGTTATACTCTCCCACCAATGCAGCACCATAGTTTCTTTAGAAACGTACCCCCTTTATCTCTGACTGATTAACTGACACAGGCTGATTGACTGACTGAATGATTGAGTATTTGACTGATAAAGGCTGATTGACTGGATGACTGCCTCAGAGGGACTGACTGACTGATTGATTGATTGATAGGCTTGCTACCTAACTGAAAGGATACACTCACTGAATTACTTGTTGGAAACTAAGAAATGAACTTACAGATTTCCTTTTTTACTCTATGCAGGTCCTACTATGGATTCATTTTCTGGCTACAGTTTTATCCTTTACAACCATTTATTGGTTTTCCTCATTTTGGACAGGTAAATACAAAATATGCTAATCTTTGTTTGTAGGTTTGCTTCATTACACAATTTTTGACAATTTCTGTTTATTTTTTTGCAGGTGCTTTGATGTTGTTTGGTTTCTTATATTGCCCAAATTACACAAGACTTGGTGGTTTTGTAGGAAAGCATGGGATGAAGTAAGATTCATTTGATCTACAAATTTTAGTCACCATTTTGTCAGTCTCACAAGAGTTATACGGATTATGGCAATTTTGCAACAGTGATATTTAGAACTATAATGGTTACAACAGTTAAAGTAGTGTTGAATATTTTGAATAACATTAATTTTGCAACCATGATGACAGTTTTCATAATTTGGTGAAAGTGAGGATGGTGAAGGCTATTAATAGTAAAGCTAATGATATCTAGTCATCTACATCTACACGTTGCTATCATGGAATATTTTGAACAGATAGATGCACAAAAAATGAACAACTATATGTTTTCCAAAAAGTTGAGGGATTTGACAAAATGGCCAAAAGCTGAACATTTAGCATTGAAGTGTGTCCACTTAACAGATTTTGTAGTATGGTTGGAAATTATAAAGAGTTGATTTGTTTTTTGTTTCTTTTTCAAGCAAAAATACTTTTGTAATTGCTTTTGCTGGTGGTGGCATCATGAATGTAACAGCATCTTTGTTGATGGGAATCTATGTCATTTTTGAACTGATGGTGAGTCTCTTATTCATAAGCTGCAAGGCTTGCTTATAGACAGGGGATGCAGGGAGTAGGGAATAAATGCAGTGGTGAGAGCACTTGCCTCCTTCCACTGTGGCTCAGGTTTGATTCGTGTGGGTTGAGTTTGTTGTTGGTTCTCATCCTTGCTCTAAGAGTTTTTCTTCAGGTCATCCTGTTTTCCTGGCTCCACAAAACAAACATTCCAACTTCTAATTTGACTTGGAAACTGTGGATAAGACAAGTCATCTCCTGAAATGTCCACTGCTAAATCCCCAAAATGGAACAATTTTATTAATCAGTGCAAACTATGGGATGAGTTTGGCACCTAAGGGCTTCTTTCAATGTTGCCATTACTTGGTTGAATTAATAAACTTGAGTAATTTACTCATCATTTGAATTTTTTAGGCATTTGAATGTGATAATGAGGAGAGCACCTGTTTGCGGAAGAAAGAACAGATGTATTGGTCAAGTAGGTGCCAAATTATATGTTCTAAAAAAGTCAGTAGTATAAATTTCTAGTTAACAATGGCTGGTATTCGCTAAGGTGTTTTAAAGTAATGCAGCTTAACCCTTTCACTCCCAAGATTTTATTAGAGTAATTCTTCCTGTGCTGTGTTGATATGGTAAGGAGAAATTCTCTCTCAGTCACTCATGAAAGTTAAAGGGTTACATGAACACAAATTGATGGAAAATGGCAGCCAAAGTAAAGAAATTAAATATATGCAAAAGAGATGCAATATATTGTTAGAATGAGGGAATTTAACACAATTTATTCAAACAAGAAATTTTGCTTACTATTAGAGATATGTATTTGTTTTAATAACTAGTTATATTTCTTTGTGATTTTTCAGTAACCTTTTACCTTGGCCAGGCATTTTTCCTGGTATGCAGTGTGTTGATTTGTGCCATTTTGTTTCATAACTTCAAAACAGAGGTAAGGTATCAGTTTGAAGGTTTTGTTTTGTCAAT